GAGAAAAAGAGGAAGACCCTCAACGAGATGGATTAGCCAAGTGGCAGTATCGATGGACTCAAGCGTGGCAACAGTAATGAAGTTGGCCCAGGATCGAGCAGTGTTTCGTTCTGCTGTGCATAGGGTCGCTATGAGTTGGTACCAACTTTATGGCACCTAACAACAAAAACAAAGCAGGTAAGTTATTTATACCTTGCACGTGTTTCATACAACAAATAACTACCATCGACTTTAGTAGAAAAAAGTACAATTTAAGAGTTGGATCATTTAGTTGTGCTTAAATAGACTCATAACTTAGAAGTGTGGTCAAACGGGCAGGACTCATGACGTTTGAGGCTAATAAATTTGCGTTAGTTGTGGTTTCGATCATTGAACAATGATTTATTAAGCACCTTCTATGAAGCAGGTACTATTCAGAAACAGCAGGCAGCTGCTGTAACATCAGCCCCACATAGGGCGCTCTCCTGTGGTTCTGAGTACAGCTTGGCTCCCTAGGGTTTTGCCTCTTTATAATGCTTAAATTTCTTTAGATTTATTGATTTATAATTTTTTTATAGTTTGGGTGAAAGTTTACAGAGCAAATTCCTTTTCCACTCAACAACTTACGTGTGGCTCATTTGGTGACATTGGTTGCTCTCCCCGCAATGTGACAGCCCCCTCCCACTTTCTCCCTGTGTCCCCTGGGCCTCTCCCTGCCCGCTGAGCTCCACTCAGGGTCTGTACTGCTGCCCTCGGACCTCCTGTACCTGGGTGTTCTGAGGAGTGTGTTCCTCACCGCTGTTACTCTTTGGCTTTAAGGGGGTCTCCAGGGACTTGAGGGGTCTAAGGCCATAGTCTCAGGCACTTCACCTGTCTCTGAAGAAGATCACAGCGTCTGGTCTTTGTAAGATTTTTAATTTGTTCTGCATTTTCTGTTAATGTGTCCAGGACCATACATTGTGGTCCTGTTCAGAGCAGTCGGCAGGGTAGTTCAGTGGGCACTGTCTAGTTCTCCTGCTCTCAGGTTAGCAGAGGTCGGAGTTCACGTGCTCCATTAGTCCTTTGGACAATTTGCTTCCTTGAGTCTTTGGTTTTTTTCACTCTCCTTTGCTCCAGATGGGAAGAGACTCATAGTTGTATCTTACATGGCCACTTGTAAGCTTGTAAGACTGCTTGCTATCCTGAGCAGAATGCAGAACGTTGTCTATGTGGACTGTGCTATGCCGGTGACCGTGGTGTCCCCAAGACCACGGTCCTAGCACTGAAGCCCAGGATTTAGTTCTGTGAAGTGGTTCTGGCTGCATGTTTCCCCTACTTGGCCCGCTCTGTGTTCTGTCCCATACAGCTTCCTGGCATTGCCAAGGGCTGATTCTACACAAGGAGGTTGCTAGGCCTTTCTTCCAGAGCCTCTCTGGGTGGACTGCACTGCTAATCTTCTGGTTTGCAGCTGAGAGTATTAACCATGTGTACCATACAGGGACCGCTTTGAGTCCTATGAACACGAAGCAAACAAAATCCCTACTTCAATGAGTCATGTATCCTAGTGTGTGCCGGGGAGGGCAAGAGTCAGTGGTTTTTCTTGTGTTTCCTAGTGTGGGCCGGAGTCAGTGATTTAAGGAGCGACCAGTACTAGGGAAAGGCACTGTCAGGTGTGGTTCCTAAACGGGATACACGATACCTAAGGCGGGTGATTTTAAGTGATGAGGTTCCATTTCCAGGAACATAATAATGTTTAGGAGTTGAGATCCTTGTGTTGGTGACTATGTTTAACAGAATTGTTACTGGTGGGTCACTCTCTGACATCGTTCTATCCTGTGCTAACTCCCAGAACTGAGGGCTGAGCACTTGTGTGCACTGTGGGGCTTGTGTAGAGACTGTTCACTGGGGGTGACATTTCTCTCCTATTCTTGTGCCTTCATTTGTCCAGGGCTCTGTGCGACACCCCCGGTGTGGACCCAAAACTCATCTCCAGAGACTGGGTCTATAATCACTACCGATGGATCATCTGGAAGTTGGCAGCGATGGAATTTTCTTTCCCTAAGGAGTTTGCTAGTAGATGCCTGAGCCCAGAAGTGGCGCTTCTTCAGCTGAAATACCGGCAAGTCTGGCTGCTCCCACCTCGCTCTTGTGCTAGAGAGAACAGGGTCTCATCCCCCACTCCCAGCGCCTACTTAGATAGCACATACGTGGGTGCACACTGGAGACACACAGGAATCACTCATTTCCTCCTCTGCTCACAGCTTGTGAATAAACCACTCTGGCATTTTTCTTGTTTTTGATATTTAATTCATTTCTTGATAAGAGGAAACAATATATTGTTAGCTACCAAATATCAGATTTTAGTCTGTCTTGGTTTTTCTACAATAAAGGAATTTCATTTTTGTTTTCAAACATATTCACAGACATGAGACAGCGGAGGCCTGATTCCTGGTTCCTAAAAGACGTGTTTTCCTTTGGACCTTTAGGTACGATGTGGAGGTTGATGGGAGCAGGAGGTCAGCTCTGAAGAAGATCACAGAGAGGGATGAGAGCGCAGCCAGGACACTTGTTCTCTGTGTGTCTGGAATCATCACCCCAAGCACAAGTACTCCTGAGCCTGCCGGCAGTCAAGCTAAAACCCTGCACGGCAGAGACGGGGCCCTGCTGGAGCTCACTGATGGCTGGTATGCTGTCAGAGCCCAGCTTGACCCGCCGCTCTCAGCGCTCCTGAAGACGGGCCGGCTGACAGTGGGTCAGAAGATCATCACACAGGGTGCTGAGCTGGTGGGCACGCAGGATGCTTGCACGCCCCTCGAAGCCCCAGAATCTCTCGTGCTAAAGGTAAACCACGTGACTGGACTCCTGACCAGAGCCTGTCTAATTCATTTCCATTCTAGAGGGTTGTGCTCACTGATGCATGTGCTAAGGATGCTGCCTGGCTGGAAAATATTAGCTGAAAGGTTGATGGTTCAAATCTACCAGCGGCTCCGAAATCTTACTGGGCAGTTCTCCTCTGTCCTACAAGATCACCACAAGTCCAGATCAGCTCAGTGACAACAAGATGTTTTGTTTGGGGTGCTCAGGAGCTGCTTAGCAACAGCCTGTGTCAGGTGGGGTTTGTGTGCTGGTGTTGTCCTGTGTCAGGTGGGGCGTGTGTACTGGTGTCGTCCTATGTCAGGTGGGGCATGTGCACTGGTGTCGGCCTGTGTCAGGTG